AAAGTCTTCTGTTTCCCTGACTTGTTGATTTGGATATCACGGAGTATGAACGGCAAGGTGTCTGGGGTTAACTGATCATCAGGGTAGTGACTCAGGACTTCCAAGTCCTCATTTGAAAGTCCAAAGCTAGCCAAGATACTTCCTGCGCTCTCTGGTGTGTATAAACTCGGACCCTCCCCACTGGCACCGTGGACATGCCGAACTTGGTTCGAAAGAGATTCACATACAGACGGAGTCCAAATTGAGAGTCTTGATCCTGCTTGGGTGTTCTGCGGCTGTTGGGCCGCTTGTTGTGACTGATGACTTGAAGAAGGTGGAGGAGCAGCAAACAGTTTAGCTGGAGGTTGGTAGCTTGACCAATCTACTCTCTGGTGGTGTTCAGACTGACTGTCAGTGGGGAGGGATACTGGGTTAGAGCCAAAGTTTCCATGCTGACTGGTCCCAGAACCTTGGTTCTGGTGTGGATCTGGCTGGGTCATGTGATCAATCTGGCGGTGGTCCATGTCCCTGGCACCCCGGATTGCCAGTGCAGACTCAAGCTCATCAGGTAGTTGGGTCGGACGAGGAAACTGGAAACCCATCACCTGCATATTAGAGCGAGTCTGATGTTGATTCGGAGGTGGCTGACGAGGTGGCGGTCTGCCCCCATTAGAAAATGGCTGTGAGCCCTGTGGGTGTTGGTGATACATGGCAGCAGACGGACAAGGCCGTGTGGTTCTGTAGGTTTTATAGCTTGAGTACCCCACAGCCTGAGGTCGATTGAAAAGAGTCAGGAGGGCCAGGTGAGGAGGTAGCGCTGCTGTAAACCAGTTGCTGTGACACTGGCTGCCGAAAGTGATGGTTGCTAAAGCAGCAAGCTGCCGGAGAGCAATCTGTGCCTCGGTCTCAACCTGCGCCAATCGGAGAGCTATCACTCCAGCAAGACCAGCCGTAGGCCCAAATATGAAATGGGTCCCTCTGGTAGTGTCGGCGATGGGCTCCAAATTAAGGACAGGAGTAAGACGTGAATTACTGTCTGTACGGACAGCGAGGCTGAGGTGAAAAGCAGAAATATACTATTACAAATAAACGAGAGTTCATTTTTCATTTCAACAGCAGCTTTTAAATAAAGTCTCTGTTTTATCTTCCAGGCACTTGAAAAGGTTTACCAGTCCTCGCTGTGTTTGCGGTGCCTTCTTGAAAACTTTAAGAAATTTGGTCAGCTTTAAGTCTAGTAGTGGAGCGTGTCGCCCATCCTGCTTTTCCTTTGTCATGGAAAAGCAAAGCAACATTATGCACAAACAACTAACAGTGAGAACGATGACCCCAAACAGCAAACACTAATGAAACAACCAAATTAAACACTACACATGTTAATCTAACCTGACAGGTAAAAACCTGAACATTTCATCCAAAGCACCAATCATTACCCTCCTATGTATATTAAACACAATGCAATGTGGCTATAATGACAGTCGTCTCCTGGGTAAAATGTACAGAACAAAATCACCCTACAAGTGCATAATGCAGTTTTACCTCCCACCATTCTAATATTTAGAAATTAGGATTAACACTTACCATTTGCTGAAAGTCAATATGATCAAGCAGAAACAACAATGCAACGGATTTTTAAACAGCATGAGTAAGCATTGCATTCTTTAATGATCCTTATAGTAAATAGCATGACCAATTTTCCTGCGTCTGAGGTCAATGTTTTTGAATGAATCTTAAGAACCTTTAACCAAATTGTGTGTGTGAGAGAGAGACCGAGAGAGCGTTTGTTATGATGATTCAAAATTTAAAAGCAATGCAGTTTTTAAACTAACAGTGAATCTAGGCTAGGGCTGTGCGATATGACCGAAATCTCATATCCCGATATAAGACATCTATC